AATGGGTAGCTCAGATTATCCTTTAGTGAATATCTCCTCGTTTATAAAATATATGTTACGAGCCGTCCTTTTTGATTAATTAAACAACCTATCAACGAGGATTAATATTTTACTCAGTTCATGCATGCCTAGTTAAAACTGAGCAATGCAAGGCAAAGCGACGGTGGGTGTTAACAACACCTAGGAAAGGCAACGGGTCGGGTTCAGGGATGGTTTTGCTCGCCCAGTCCCTGACCCTGACCTGATCCCCGACGGTTTTTTTATTGGGGCGCCCCGTCGGGGATTTTTTTTTGACCTGTCCCTGAACCTGACCCGAAATATTATATCCGAATCCGAAAATATTTTATATATAATTAATATAAAAAATATAAATATTATATATATAATTAATATAAAAAATATAAAATATTATTATATATATATAATCGGGGCGGGGATACCTTGCCCCGAACTCGACCCGAACAAATTCCCGAAAAATATCCCCGAACCCGACCCGATATCATTCAACCCGACTCGTTCCAAACTTGATCGGGTTTCGGGTTTCCCCGTTGAGTTCGGGTCATATTGCCATCCCTAACAACCCTTAAGCGTAAATATATTTTAGGGTAAATTATAGTTTTAGTTTCTAAGTATTAGTTTTTGTTTATTTTTGTATTTAAACTTTCATTTTTTTAAAATTATACATGAAGTTTAGTTTTTATTTCATTTTAATACCCAATTTAAATTTATCGTTAAGTTTTGAAATGATTAAAAGATTATTTACTAAAATGGATCAAAACTTATAATTTGGATATTAATCGCATTAAGTTTTTAATTGGATATTAAAATGAAGTGAAAACTGAACGTTACATATGATTTTGAAAAATTAAAAGATTAGATACTAAAACATATCAAAATTAATAATTTAGATATTAGATGTGTATTTTACCTTATATTTTATTTTTTTAAATAAAATAAAATATTCAATTAAATTAAACCGTTAATCGAGGCATGATATAATATTGAATCAGAAAGGACAGAAAGCAAACCATGCATGTTGGGTTATCAACTAGTGACGTGCTTCACACTCTATGATTTGGTTCGTGCACTTTAATTTTGATGGAAAGCAGCGAATAGTAATCACCACGTTATCGAATTTGATTATTTACACATATGATGATCTCAATTAAGTAAATTCATACTAAGGACCAAATGAATAAATAAATCCATATAGGTGATAAATAAATTATTGTTATTCTTTAAGGTATTGAGTTCGAGCACTAGAAATATCAGGGGTGTAAATGTTAAATGTAAAAATGATTAAGAGATATAGTTGAACATATCTTATCTTTGTACTTATCATAATGTTTTTAAACGAAAAATTCAAATTAAAATAATTATGACTTAATTTGAAAATTTAGGATTTTTGATTAATTTGGGATTTGATCGAATTTGAAGTCGTCGTCGACCTTTAGATTAGGTAGGTCGAATACATAAAAATGTTGTTTAAAACAATTTTACGAAAAATTATTTTAAATACAAAATCGGTCCAAGTTACCAAAAAATTATTTTTAAAAATTCGGAAGCCGGTTATGCGTGGGGAAGGGTGAGCACCACACAACGCACAAAATTGATGCCTAGTTGCTTATATGTTGTCATAATAGTAGAATATGCAAATTCAAGTCTAAAATTAAAATACGATCCTTTTATCAAACAATGATTAATTATTTCGAATCATAAAATTGTACGGAAAACAAATCAGATTTATTTAAAGTTCACTTTTCGTTCGAATGGCCTCGAATCGTATTTCTCTTATAGGGACGTACTTTTCACGTCCATTCTATAGCGAACATTCTTGAAAATATTCGAGTGAGTGACATTTAACAAATTATTAAATAAATAAGCATTTAACAAAAATTAAAAAAATGTACATAAATATACTATGTAAAACATATAAATATACATGCACGTATACATACACATATAAATATTTAATATGACAACACATACATGGTAATATTTACAACAAAAATATGCACGTTCTAAGTTAAGGGCTAATATACGATAAACAATAATACAGGGATCAAGATGCATGAATACAAAAATACAAGAGCTAATTAGACGATAATTCGATTTTTCAAGCATAAATAGTGATTTGGTTGCATATAAACGAAGGTTCGAGGAACTGAAAACATAAATAGACTGATTTTCAGCAATATTGGAAACAAGAGACAAAAATATAAACATAGCATAATTTAAGGACCATGCACATGAATTAACCATTTCATTTAATGGTTAAAATGAAAATTTACAAAACCTGCGAGGATCAAAACAACTATTTGCCCACATGCAAAAATACGGGGATCGTCCCTTTAAAACGACACCGTTTTACATGGCCTATATAAGGCCCTTTTACTTTTTTATTTCACTCTTTTTCTTTTCCTCTTTCTCTTAGATCCGATGAGCCTCTGGCGAGGTGCTCCGCCATCGACTACAGTCATATTTTGGCGGCCTTTCAAGCCCCGATTACACTTGTGATTCATCTCAAGGCCTTGAGCATGAATATGGGCTTGGTTTTCCCCAAAATGTCCCGAGCTCCACAAATATGTCAAAAACCGTTTGACTTTCAATATCTTCGATCTCCATATCTGGCTATCTGATCGCTTTGATTTCGGAGTATGTTACTCCTCTCTCTCGTGCGCTCTTTCTCACCGTCCCAATCCACAATCGAACCCTCCAAATGCCGACGAGTAACTTTGACCGAATGTAAGCCCATTTTCCTTCTTTTTTCCTTTTCGATCTCCTTTTTTCTGATTTTTTTGTTTGATTCCCCCTCTGCTTGCATGTTGGTTTATATGCATTTTTTGTTTGGTTTTGGTGAAGCTATGATGGCCAGTTGATAGGGGAATGATTTCATTTCATCATTCCCAATTTTACGGGATTGTTTTATTTTTATTGAAGAGGTTTGGATTTGGTTGGATTTTGACTGATTTTCCTCACTATTTGTACGAGATGGTGATGCTGAGTGGTGGAAACGACGACTGGCGGATGATGGGAGTACGTGGCAGGAACAATGGCTGTGATACGACGACAGTAGCTCCTTAGGGTTAGGTCAGATTAGGGCTAGGGTTTAAAAACCCTAGTTGGGTCAGGTCATGTTTTTCATTTGAGCCAGCTTAGTTGGGCTTTGGGTTTACTGACTTGGGTCGGGTCCAACTTGAGTATTGTAAATTGGGCCTCGGTTATGGGGCCTACAAAATGTAAAAAAATTAGATAAATAATAATAATAATTTATAAACCCAAACAAAAATGAGTGTCTACAATACTTATATCGGATTGATAAAAAATACTAAGGACCAAATTTGAATAATATAAACAATGAATTGCATCCGCAAATACAAGTGGTTCGCATTCGAAGAGGGTCTATAAGCAATTATAAAAGAAAGTGATGGTTCATTATTGCTCTGAAAAAAAGAAACCAATGGTTTTAAATGCCGTGATCATATATATATATATATGATAGAGTTAGGCGTGGTGAATAAGTGCGTTTGTCCCTTAAAAATATAAAATTTTCATATATTTTAAATATTTTATGTAATTTTATTAAAATTATATTTTTATCCCTTAAATTTTAAATTCGTCTCTAATATAAAAACCTTCCATATATATATATAAAATTTTCATAAAAAAATATAACATTTTGTCTTTCCTTTCTGTATTATTTTAGTGGATTCACCTGTTGAAAGTCTTGACATTTAAATAATAAGTGGATGGGTAATTAATTTTTAAAATTTTATGGTCTAATAACGAAGATATTCATAATTAACAGTATTAAATATTTAATAATTCTTATAATCTATACGATTTAATATGAAGCTTTTTATTTGAAATGTACAATAAATAACCGAGATATTCGTAATTAAAAGAATAAATAAAATAGTAGAAATGAAAAGATTAGTTGGGTTAGGTTATGAGGTGGCAGCTATGCATTAAACATTAAAGAAAAAAATATGTTAGGTAAAGGTCGCATTGAAATTCATGAAAGAAGTGAGGGAAGACAGGCCACGTAGACTATTCTCTGTTGCCATATCACGCTGCTAAAAAATTAGAGTAAACAATGAATTTAATATTAAAATATTAATTTTTATTTATTTTAGTATTTAAAATTTTAATATTTTTAAAATTAAAATCGTGATATTTAAATTTTTGCTTCATTTTAATATCTTACCATAATTTTTTTAACACGTTTAATATATAAATTTTCAATTTTAATATGTTTTAATGTATAAACTTTCTATTTTTTTTAAATTAATGTTAAATTTTGAACTTTTATATTAAAATGAAAAAAAAAATATTACAAATTTAGTTATTAAAATGAATCAAAATTTTAGATATTAAACTCGTAATTGATCCAAAATTTATTGGCAGAAAATTTTGCATAACAATGATGAGTGATGTCACCATAAGCATCTTAAGCCATGAAGAGGATTGATCGAGTAGTGATGTTAGCGAACAAGATGGTAAAAAAATATTATTTTTTAAAATTTTAAGTTCGAATAATAAATGTTAAAGGTATAAATATTTAATATTAAATAATTAAAAATTATTTTATATTAATGAAAAAATGTAGACACGATTAAGATGACATTCAAATGCCGATTTTGCCCTCTTATCTTCATCTCAGCCGTCAGCTCGCAGCTCTCAACCTCATCAGCGTCGCTGGCCCACCCTCAGCCCTTTTTGAAACCAATATAAGCGAAAAATACTAGTAGCATTTAAAAATGGAGAGGGCTCATTTAATACAGCAAACACGAACTCTATTAGTAGCTTTTTTATTTATTGAAAACTCTATTATTTCTTTATTTTTTTAAGGGGGAAACGAGAGAAGGAATCGGAATAAGAAAGGCTTTCAACTCTCAACCCCAAGGTAAGTCAAGGATCCTTTAGTTGTGGGGTGGGGTTGAATTTCAAGCTTCCTTTTTTGGTATTTGTTATTCCCATCATCATATTCCTCCCTTTCTTTGCCTGCTCATTTTTTTTCTTCATGAAGTTTTTATCTTTTTCGTTACAGGCTTCAGAAAGTTTGGATTTTGATGGTAATGTAGGTGTTGTGTTGACGGCTCCCCTTTTATTCAGCTTTCGTTCCAATGGATTCCTCTTTCGAGGGTAATCTTTTACATTTGTATTTTTGTTTTGTTTTGGATTTTCTGTATGATGTAATCAGGGTATTGCATATTTTTCTCTGCTTTCGGTTTTTAGTATATTGAAGGTCTTTGAAAGTTAGATCTTTAACGGGATTCACAACCAGTAATCATCTAACATGTTGTTTCCTAGATGGACAATTAATAGCTATATGAACTCTTTGTTTACTTAATTTCAACCATTTAGGATTTCTGGGTTGTCGTGGTACCTTCTACTGCTTACACTTTTTCACTTGCGATTTTTTGGCTCCCTTTGCTATAGGAGTTACTCTTGATCCATCAAAATGTAGTGAATTGAGTATGGATGAAAAGAGAGAGCTAGTCTATGAATTATCAAAGAGGACAAGCAGGGCCCCTGAAATGCTACAATCATGGAGCCGTCAGGAGATTTTGCAGATCTTATGCGCTGAGATGGGGAAGGAAAGGAAATACACTGGCTTGACAAAGCTGAAAATTATAGAAAACCTTTTGAAAATTGTAGCTGAAAAGAATTCGGGAGATCAGGAGGGTGTGACGGAGCCTGAATTGCAATCTTCCCCAACAAATGGCCAGAAAACATCCAAAAGGCAAAGGAAGGCTGATCATCCGTGTCGACTGCCTGTTCCGGTGAATGATCTTCCGATCAATAATGGTGGAAATGACACGACCAATGCTGTTTATTGTAAAAACTCAGCTTGCAGGGCTAGCTTGAGACAAGAAGATACATTTGCAAGAGGTGTTCCTGCTGCATCTGTTATAAGTTTGATGACAACAAGGATCCTAGCCTGTGGTTAATTTGCAGCTCAGAGCCTCCTTTCCAGAACAATTCCTGTGGCATGTCATGTCATCTTGAGTGTGCTTTAAAACATGAGAATTCTGGTTTTCTGAAAGATAAACGGCATGCAGGACTTGATGGTAGCTTTTATGTGTAGCATGCGGGAAAGTAAATGATTTGCTTGGGTAAATTCTCCTAGATGCTATATATATATACATGCACGTAAACATTCATTTTGTTCTGTTTGTTTTTTTTCTCTGGTATACTATTCAGTCAGTTTGAGCTTTTGTTTTCTATTTTGCTGTGGTGCTTTGCAGATCTTTGGGTGATAGAAATTATGGATATTTTTCAACAACTGTAAACGCTAGAACTTGATATTTACTATTAATATGTTTAAAGATTCTAAATTATTGCGTGATGTTTCCATTTCATACCTCATGTTGTAAGAACAAGGAGACGAATGATTAGCTACTAACTTTTGCTGGTATTAGACAATCAGACTTTCTTTGATTGTATTCTGCAGTTTGTTTAATCATGTAAGACAGTTTTATGCTTTTTTTATTTTATTTTTTATTTCATGCGCTTTGTTTTTGCCTCTGCCTTATGGATAGTTTATGTTCTCCATAAATCATGTTCCATTTTTTTTTCTAATGTTATTTGTTGACTGTAATTTGGAATGTTTTTTTCCCTTTACGACACTATCTAAGGAAGTAGACTTGTACATATAAATAAATTAAACCACACGTATTGATTACGTTAAATGAAACTTTTGTTATTCATTTAATCTTGAAATGTCAATATATAGTTCGATCAGACTGGTTCCATAAACTTCCCATATTTATATAGGTGCTGGAGAAAACAACTTATGGCTGCAAAAGATAAATTTGATTCGACTCGTTGCTCGTTAAACTCGTTAAAATTTTGTTCGACTCGTGCTCGTGTCGCTCGTTAAACTCATTAAATTAGTTGTTCACCTCGTTGCTCGCTAAGCTCACCAAAAAATTTATTTTTTTAACTATAAGTAAAATATAATAATACTATATAGAACTTAATATAAACATATATTAATAAATTTAACTAAAAAATTATCAAGCATGTATGAAACAAATTCAAAGTCTAAATATTAAAATAAAAATTACTAAATATATTAAAATAATAATTAAGGTTTGATATCGATGTATAGCAAAATAATAATTATTAATAAATAATTTCATGTTTTTAATTATTTATTAGAAAACTAATAGATTATTAATTTGTCATATTTTTATTATTAATTAGTAAATTAGTAATGTGTTGAATAAAATAATTTTTTAAAATAATTATTAAAAGTTTAAAAAATTAATGAATTACTCACAAACTTATCAAATAAAATTAGGTTTTGCTCAACTCAACTCGTTAAAATTTTGAGTTGAGTTCGAACCGAATCAATCCTTAAACTTTTTAAATTTTAATCAGGTCGAATTTAAACTGCTCACCACCTCTTACCTCCGGTTATTTGACAGGCATAACCATAACCTAACCTTCTTAAAAGCAGCGGCTGATCGTACGACGCGGAAGCCGAAATCACAGCTCAATCGCGGTACCCGAGAGCACTACAACAATGTTTTTCCAGAAATTTTCATCGGAAAAGAGGTAAATTTGCTGATTTTGGAGCTACCCATTTAGAGTAATGTTGAGAAGATCGAAAAAACTTGCATTTAATGCCAGAAAAAAAACCTACAATCTGTTTCTAAAACCCCGTGTTCAGTTTTTCATCTGGGCATGATTCCCAGAGCAATCAATCAGACCCTGAAAATGAATGGCAGAAATTACTCAAACTATTTTAGCTCGATGAACTCCGAAAATCATTCAATAAGATTACTCCGTATCAGCTCTCAAAATTACTTGAATTGCCACTTGATGTTCCCACATCTTTGAAGTTGTTTCAATTGGCGGGTTCTCAGAAAGGCTATTGTCATACTTTTGACGTGTATTATGTTCTTATTGAAAACTTGGGGCGGCTAAGGAATTTAAACCTATAGATAGGTTGTTGATGCAAATGAAAGAAGAAGGGATCCTTTTTAGAGAATCCCTCTTCATTTTGATAATGAAATGTTATGGAAGAGCCTGTTTGCCAGGCCAAGCTTCTAGATTATTATTGGATATGAAGAGTGTTTACTTTGTGAAACAACATATAGGTCTTACAGTACTGTCTTGAGTATTCTGGTAGCTGGGAATTGTTATAAAGTTACTCCTAATGTTTTTCATGACATGTTAAATAAGGGTGTATCTCCTGATGCTCTTACATATGGTTTTGTAATCAAAGCCCTTCGTATGGATAATAAAGTAGATTCTGCATGCTTATTGCTTAGGGATATGACGAGATATGGATGTGTGCCTAACTGAGTCATTACAATACTTTGATACGTGCGTTGTCGAAAGGCAACAGAGTTATTGAAGCAGTGAAACTTTTGGAGGAAATGTTTCTGATGGGTTGTGCTCTGATGTTCAGACTTTTAATGATGTTTATATGGCCTTTGCAAGCTCGATCATATCCATGAGGCAGCGAAAGTGGTTGATAAGATGCTTCTCTGAGGCTACACCCCTGATGCATTTACTTATGGGAGTGGATCTTCGGTACAATTGGAGATTATGGCGTTACTCGTGCTATTAATTTGTTCATGATCTCTAAGCGGTATAAGGTGTTTGATCTCATTATCGAAAGCAATTGCGAGGTAGTTGTGAAATGGATGCAGGTCCCCGCCCTCTCTCCGACTGTTTGGGCGTCCATCCTCCTTCGTGCTGCCTCGGTGGTTACCGAGAGAAAAGTTCCGGTGAGTTATGTTCCTAGAAGGTGTAATACGGCTGCTGATTACCTAGCGAAGCGTGCGCTGGATTCAGATTTTTTTCAGGAGGAGGTTTCTGTTGGCTTTGATGCTGGGACTTTGTCTTGGGTCCAAGGGAGTTGCTGTCTGTTTATCTTTGTTTTGCTGTTTGTAGATGGGTTTAGTGTCTGAGTGGTCTTGTTTTTGTCTGGGAAGGGTTTTTGGGTCAGCTTCTGGGGTGGCTTATCTACGGCTGTCTGCCATGTTGGTGTTCTTTAGTTTCATTGCTTTGGGTGCACTCTTTTTCCTCCTTTTAGGATTAGAGAGGTTTTTAATGAGGTCCTTGTGGGTGTCATGTACAATATTCAAATAATTTGAGTACTAGATTGAACATTACAAAAAACTTTGACATTACCTGTTTTGAGATGAACTGTTAATCTCATCCTCGGTAATCTTGGAATCATTGGATCTCACAACGAATGCAACTGGAATCTCTCCCGCTGCTTCATCTTTCATACTAAAATACATATGTGATAGAAACCGATGTGATCGTAACACCCAAATTACTGTTCAACGTGATGTGCTAAAGGAGACTTACGGCACAACAGCAGCATCAGAAATGTTGGGATTGGAAATCAACATTGCTTCGAGTTCAGCAGGTGCCACTTGAAAGCCTTTGTACTTTATTAATTCCTTCAATTGATCGACAATGAAAACTTCATTATCATCATCAATGTAGTCGATGTCACCCTCGTGCAACCATCCATTTGTGTTTTCTTTGTCGCTTCGGGACGTTTCGGGATCATAAGATAACTTGAACAAAATCAATGTTTTTCAATTTATTAAGTGTTCGATAAATAATATATGATTGCATAAAATAAAAGATTAATACAATATGATGATACGACGAAAACAAATGATTTTTGTAAAAAGATTATAAATAAATTAAGAAAAAAAACAATAAACTAAAAAGAATGAAGTTAAATTCCATATGCATGTTTGGCATCTCATTGAATTCATGCCCCAATCAAAAAGCCATTATTGCCTTAGGCGCAAGTCGTAATCAAGGGCTGGGAAAGATGAATAAGAGACTTTGCAATATATGTTCAAAATCCTTGCATTATGGATACTGCATGCTGAGGTTCAACCAAAGATTCAAATAACAGTCGCGTCGCGTTTGTTGTGATTGCAAACATAGCAAATATTATTGTGGGGACTGCGGGTATTGCGGTCATATAATAACGGTCGCGAAATCCCTGGTTCCAACCCATAAATGGCTACCATTTTCTGTTGCTTTCTTTCGGTGGAACTAAGATCTCTGCTTTCATTAATTGATATTTAACTTTGTTAAAGAAGAAGAAATGCCGACTTATATGGTGAGACTTGTAATTTAATACGAATTCATTGGTCTGTATCTCATAATTAAGTGTGAACTTTGATCCTGTGATTCATTAATTTTGATTAGTTGTAATTATAAGCATTAATTTTTATACCTTTATTCAATTGTATATGTGAAAATTAAAATTATTGTGATTTAACATGTAATTAACTATTTTACATGCAATTTCTTATCTCATTGTGATATGATCGTGAATATTAATTATATGCAATATTTATGAATATGTTGTACATATATAAATCTGTAAACATTAAATTATTATATACTGCATCTAAAAAAAGTATGAGTTTGCATTTATGCTATGTTTTTTTGAATCATTAACACAAAAACATATCATGTAAAAGTAATTACTTAAATTTAAAATTTGTAGACAGAACATATTATAGATTAACTGAATTGAGATAATTTGATTAAATTGCTTTCTTCTTAAAAAATGTGCAAGTTGAAATTGCATGTTTTATGTTTATAAAAACAATGAGATTTTAAATTACGAGTTAAGAATAGAGGTGTTTAAACGCTTAATTCGGCTACCGACTGAACCGAATTTTCATTGACAATATTAACAGTTAATCGAACTGAATTTTTTTTAAATATTAACCGAACCGAATAAAGTTCGGTTATTTCGGTTGGTTAACATAATTAACCAAATTTTTTATAATTTTTAAATTAGATTAATTTGAATATAATATGTGTATTTTTTATTTGATTTAGAATTTAATTAGGTATTGATAATTTAATGAGTCTAGCATGATTAAAAAATAATTGGGTATTAATTCTTAATAGGGTTAACCTTAAAATATGTATTTAATATATATAATATTTAATAATTTCGGTTAATTTGGTTAATTAACATATTTCGAACCGAATTAACTATTAACCGAATATTTTAAAAAATATTAACCGTTCTCCGATCGAACTAATTCGGCCCGATTAATTCGGTTAAAACCGAAAAGT